AAAAAAAAAAAAAAAAAAGGAAAAGAATATCTGTATGAAATCTAGTAAAAATATCAGATGTAATACAAGTTTGAATATTACTGAAACCAGAGGATGAAAACAGTTCCTCATACTGGTCTCTCTAATTGTTGTATATGTTGGGAGATATCCATAATAGAAAAGTCAAAAAATAATTAGGATAGAAACAAATTTTGAAAAGCTCTTAGAATTCCATAGGCCTTCAGGGACAATGACATGGGCTAAAATGAAAACTTAACATTTCTAATGCCTTCCCTGAACTTTAGTGAGTATAAAAGAGAGGGACCAAAAGCAAAAGAGAAAACAAGATCTTGTTTATTGAGGCCAGGCAAAGCCAACCTTCTTCAAGGTGTAAATTCAAAAGTAACTTCTTTAGGCTGAAGAAGGCAGGTTCATATGGAACTATCCTGGACTGACAGTTTGCACATACAGGCCACTGCAGGGAGTATAATCTGACATGACCATTTCTTTTCTTCAATTAATTCTATGACAGTAAAATGGGAATAGAGGCAGGAGACTGGTATAACATTCTCTCTGGTGTCCTCCATGTACCCCCAGAATGCTCGAAGTGATATGCATCTCTAGACACTTTCAATGTTTTGAGTTCAGCAGCTTATCATTAAGATTTGTAGGATACAATTAGCTTGACTTTAGATCATTTTATCCTCAAGAAGTGGGGAGCGGAAGGGAGGAAAGAGAAAAGGTGATAGGAAGGGAAAGAGTGTAATCTCTTTTAAAGACAAATTTATGAACTGAAAAATAATTATAATTGACAAAACATTAACAAAACTTTCACAAAGAACTACAGGTTAATATTGCTTTCCTCTGATTACTAAACTATACTTTAAGGCAGAAACAATACATCTAAGCCCAATTACTCTCCAAAATCTCACGTATATATTCTGCTTTTGTAGCAAAAATGAATATAAGTATATGGAAAGGAAGGTGTATATTATTAAAACTTTGTCAAAAAAAAACTACCTGCTTAATCACAATGACAGAACTTCCCCTCATACAACATGAAGAAAATTACATTCTAGGAGAAAAAAATTTAAAATTGTTTAACACTGGACATCATGGAACATGCCTGTAATCACAGCAATGTGGGTGGCTGAGGCAGGAGAATCCCTAGTTCCAGGCCAGCCTTGGCAATTTAGCAAGACTATATCAAAATTAAAAATAAAAAGGGCTGGAAATGTAGTTCACTTCTACAGCACCCCTAAGTTCAACCACTACCACAAAAAAAAAAAGAAAAGAAAAGAAAGGAAGAAAGAAAGAAAGAAAAGTTTTAATAATTAACAAGATAAATAAGACAGCAATACACATTTTACATTTAGTAAATGTATGTTTATATTTAGAAAATATTTTAAGATATTTTTCATGATTATTAAATCACACTCAAACTTGTAATTAGCCTTTGAACGAGTTCCAACAACAGAAATAATGATGCAGAATATCTACAGACTAAATCTAGGAACACAAAAACAGATAGCAGATGGAACATTTTGGCCTTTTAGTAAGTTTTTTATAGTGTTTAATATCCAAAAAGCCTTGTGTACATCATACATGTGGAACTGCAGTAGGTTCAGAGCCATATGAAATGAACATGAGAAACTTCTCAGATGCATTATAAGTAACCACTACACTGTGAAATCAACCTTAATATAGACAACCCAAAACATAATGCTAAATATTATCAGAAAATCATAAAAACATACTTTAAAGAACAAAAATATTTATATTTATCTAGCAAAAATTAATCACATTTAAATTCTTACCAAAAAATACATTAAATTACTTATAGAACAAATATTCGATTAAATATTTGCTTACCGATTGTCAAATAATTAGCAAAATCAGCTTCAAAAGTAAAGTTTTACTTTTTATTAAAATGTGATCAATATTAACACAAACCTAAAAACAGAATATGAGAAAACAAGGATGGCAGATTCACAGCAGTAAGGGGAGTGTATGTGCTACATCATCCTATCCCAGGGTAGATATCAAGAATCATTCACTGCATCAAGTGTAGTGACACACCCCTATAATCCCAGCTACTTAGAGGCTGAGGCAGGAGGATCACAAGTTCAAGACTAGCCTTGGCAACTTAGTGAGACTGTATCTCAAAATAAAAATAGAAAGGACTGGGGATGTAGCTCAATGGTAGAATACCTCTAGGTTTAGTTCCAGAACACACACAATAAAAGAGAAATAATCACCATATACTTCCTCCCAGGGCCATGAATCATTTTCAAAGAGAACACTTCAGGTAACTACTACCAACAACCCACAGAAAAAAATATTACATAAAACCTGTTTTCTATCCCTATATTGGGATTTTAGTAACCTAAAACACTTTGCCAGAATTTTAGGTGATTATTTTAAAATCAGAAATGGCCATGCTTTCATATTACTCAAAATTCACTTAATCAGAAATGGATTTCAATGCATTTTTCACTTCAGAGACAGATTCAATATTGAAACAACATCACAAACTCATAAATACAATGGTAAACTTTAACCCTTTAGTGAGAAAGAGTGGGATATGCTGTTTTCTTTTGAAGACAGAAAGCAGACTCTTCGTACTAACAAACAGTATGCTGTACGAGTCGACAGTGAAAGAAGTAATTCCTTATTCAGTATGCACAATACATTTAGGGGGACTCACATAATTGGGAATTCATATAAGGCATTAATGATCTTGCATTTCCCATGAAGTTTCTACATTTTTTTTTAATAACCAACAACATAGTAAGAAGTAAAGGACTAAACATAAATAAATAAATAAATAAATAAATAAATAAATAAATAAATAAGTAAGTAAGTAAGTAAGTAAATAAATAAATAACCAGCCTAAATCTATAGTGCCAAAAAAAATAAGAAGTAGTAGTAAAGGACTGATTCATGGCATTAGCAAGGAGATGAAACTTAATACTTACTTTTGCAAAGGCTTCAAAAATGTCAAAAGAAGCTGGCAGCTGAGAAGCATCCTGTATTTCTTCTCTCATGAAATGTTGAAATGTCATTGTAAGTTGCCTGAGGCCCTCTTTCTTGTCTTCAGTGAGTTTGCTAATATCTTTAACAAAAAAATAAACAGCAAAATCACAAAGTAAACAATGGATAATTTTCAGGTATTCAATGTTGGCTGCTAAACCAGATATTTCCCATCTCACCTTCCATTCTGACATCTTTTTATTTGACAACCACAAATCATAATACATATGTAATCAATTAAATTCTACCAAATTTTATCTACAATGTAAGATCAAATACCTATTAAGAACATAATAAATGCTTATACCAATGAAAAAGATTAAAAACTAAAATCACTAAGGTTTTGCATTACCAGATTTTCTACATCAACATGCATACATACACAAACCATCATAAATCTTTATTAAGTCAATGGATTTAAACAGATTTTACCATGAAAAATTTACGACTAGGTCATCACAAACTGATAAATGTTATAATCTGAAAGGCAAGAAGATTGAAAGTAGAATAAATTCTGACAAAGTTCAAATAAATGAAATTTGTTATATGGAACATTCATCAAGAAAACATATTAAACAAAGAAATCTCAATTTCACTTTCAGATTGAATACACAAACACAGAGCTACTTTAACAACTATTTGAGTTGAAGAGAGATGCCACAAAAAAATGGTAAAACTGATGAAACAGATTTGGTAAAGTTATAGAATACAAAAACAATATATAAAAAAAATCAGTAAAATTTTTTTACATACCAGTAACAAAACTGCTGTAAAAGGACGATAGCTACACCAAAAATAAAATAGCTAGGATGAAATTCAATCAAGGAAATGAAAGACTTCTACAGTGAAAAGTATAAGACAAAAGAAACTAAAGGGGACACAGAATAGGAAAATACTTCCCATGTTCATAAATTGAAAGAATGAATACTGCTAAAATGTCCAACTACCCGAAGTGATCTAAAGATTCAACATAACTCCCATCAAAATAACAATGAGATTCTTCACAGAAATAGGAAAAATAATCACAAAATTCACATGGAACCATGAAAAACTGAATTGCCAAAGAAATTCTGAGCAAAAAGAAAAAAGATGGGAAGCACCACAATATCTGACTTCAAAAAACTACAAAACTAAAGTAACCTAGACCCAGAAATCAATGCAACAGAAATGAATCTACATATGTACAATCAACTGATTTTCACCAAAGGTGACAATGACATACATTGGAAAGAAAGCAGTCTCTTTAATGAACAGTACCCGGAAGAGTGGAAATACCATGCGCAGAAGAATGAAACTACATCCATACCTCTCACCATATACAAAAATCAACTCAAAATAGATCAGACTTAAATGTAAGACCCCAAACTATGGACCCACTAGGAAAAAGGGAAAAAAAAGAAACATAAAGGAAAAGCTTCAGGATATTGATCTAGGCAAAGATTTTTTGGATATGACCCCAAAAGCATAGGCAACAAAAGCAAAACTCAGCAAATAGGATCACCAACAACCTAAAAGGCTCCTGCACAAAGAAACAATGGATGCAGTAGAGAGACAACCTATAGACCAGAGAAAACATGTGCAAAGTATTCAACTCACAAGGGATTAACATTCACCATATTTAAGGAACTCAAAACCAACAGCAAAAAAAAAAAAAAAACTAAACTAAAATTATCTGGATTTAAAAGGGGCATAGAATCTGAATAGGCATTTCTCAAAAGAAGACATGCAAGTGACCAAAAACTACATGAAAAAAAGTTCAACATCATTACTCATCAGGAAAACACAAATCCAAAGCACACTGAGAGCCATATGCAGTGGCAGATGCCTAAGATCCCAAAGAACTGGGAGGCTGAGGCTGGAGGATCCCAAGTTTGAGGCCAGCCTCAGCAACTTAGCTTTATTTTATTTTAACAAAATAAAAATCACTAAGGATGTAGCTCAGTCATAAAGTGCCCCAGAGTTCATTCTCCACTAGCACAAAAACAAAACAAAACAAATATCCACAGTGAGAATGGCTATTATCAAAGAGACAAAAAAAAAATAACAAATGCTGGTAAAGATGTGGAGAAAGAGGAACGCCTACACTATTGGTGGCCATGTAAAAGTACAGCCTTTTGGAAAACAGTATGAAGGCTCCTAAAAAATTAAAAATAGAAAGTACCTTATGATCTAGCAATCCCACTACTGGGTATATATCCAAATAAAACCATTATATCAAAGAGCAGCACTCCATGTTCACTGCAGCATTATTCACAATAGCCAAGACATACAACTGAACTGAGTGTCCTCCAATGGATGAAGAAGATGTGGTACAATGGAATATTTTTCAGTCATTAAAAATAATGAGGGGCTGGGGTTTGGCTCAGTGATAGAATGCTTGCCTAGCAAGTGTGTGGCACTGGGTTTGATTCTCAGCGCCACATATAAATAAATAATAAAGGTTCATCAACAGCTAAAAAAAATTTTTTTTAAATAATGAAATCCTATCATTTTTAGCAATGTAGATGAAACTCAAGATCATGTTAAGTGAAATAAGCCAGGCACAGAAAGAAATGTCACACGTTCTCACTCATTTGTGGAAACATAAAAAATTAATCTGAAGAAAAGAGTAGAAGAGTAGGAAGGGCAGGGGAGGAAGGATAATGAGAGGGTAGAAAATGGGTACCCAGGGGTAGGGGATGTAGCTCAGTTGGCAGAGTGCTTGCCTCACATGCAAAAGTCCCAGGGTTCAATCCCTAGCACCCCCACCACAAAAAAAAAAAAAATTAAAAAGTAACAAAATATAGTTAGAAGGAATTAGTACTAGTTTTCTATAGTATAATAGGGTAAATACAATCCACAAGAATTTTTCACATATTCTACAATAATTAGAAAAAAATTGTTCAAAGGTTCCTAACACATAAACTTTTGAGATCCAAAAACTAATTGCCCTGATTTTATCATTATATGTTGTATGTATGCATCAAATTATTGTACAATACCCCCATACATTTGTACAGATGCTATGTTAATTAATTCTTTTAAAAAGGAAAGAAACAAACAGAAGGCTTTAAAGCCAATATGACCTCCTTAAAAAAATCAACTTAGGTGGGCATGGTGGCATACGCCTATAATCCCAACAATTTAAGGCAGGAAGTCTACAAATTGCAGGCCAGATTTGGCAAATGCAATTTGAGTGAGACTGTGTCTCAAAACAAAAGCATAAAAGGGATAGGGATTAAACTCAGAGGTGGGTCGACCCTGGGTTCTATCTCCATACGGTGAAAGAAAAAACTATATATAAACCACAAATTGCATATTGAATCTAAGAGGTATCTTTAATTAATAATACTTAAGAGCATTTCACTTAAAGCAGTGTGTATGACATTACTACTGAGCAGCACTAATGTTAATAGTGAAATTCACTGTAAGATATTTTAATTACCTAGCAGTAATACAAGTAAAAATGACTAATTAGTTCTCTATTAAAATTTAAAAAGACACTCTGCTGCTCATGTCGGGTCTGTATATTTTCTTTATATTACTTGTTCAACACAATAATTGACCCAATGATTTCTTAAATAATAATTTATTAGCACTTAGTATCCCATAAGCATAAATGTGTACTAAATCATTTTTTATTTGTCTCCATCCAGAAATATTAAACTGTGTAGCAAATGCACACTGAGCTCTGGCCAGTTTGAGTTTGTAGTCTTTTACAAACTCAATGAACAGGATCTGTGCCAGTACAAAAAGCAACACAAACCTGACATGTGCTTGACACTCAGATCTGGAAAGCCTTTCATTCTTTCCAAGTAGCTGGACTACTGCCATGGTAGGAACAACACTCTGTCATAAAGCCGAAGTCATCTATACCTTTGACTTTACTACCTAAAGCAACAGTGACCCCAAAAGCTCCCTGAAACCCTCATATTCATTATATCTCTCTTTCCTGTCATCAGAAAAAGAAAAGGAAAAAGAAAAAACAGAAGAGGAAACCAAGAGAGGAATGAAGGGGAAAAAGGAAGGAGAAACAGAAGGAAAATTTTGTCAACTGGGCAAATGGTGACACTACCCTGAACACCCTAGACATCTTTATAGTACTTCATAAACTTCTGTAAGGCCCAAAATGCCATGAAATAAATTAAATAAACTAATGAGTCAGTTATTTATAAAAACAAAAACCTTTGTTAGGTTCGTTTCATATAATAAGGAGACAGAAAAACAAACTTGAAAATAAAGCAGTTTGGGGGCTGGGGAGGGGTGCAGGTCAGAGGTAGAGCATGTGCTCAGTATGAGGGATGCCCTGGGTTCACAATCAGTCAATCCATCAGCAAAGCACTTCACCAGCTCAGCAAACAAATGACAGACTTTTTTTTTTCCTTTTTTTAAGATGATGATAGGCAATCACTTACTTGATTCCAAATCATAAAATGAGTAAAGTTTCTCGGATTCTGAGGGAGTTTCTTCCATCTGTGAAGGAAAGGGGGGAAACCAAAAATAATCCGAAGCACTCCAATACATGAAGGAATGTGTTTGAATACCTTTACATATTTAAATGAAAGTCTACCAAAAGGCTATTTCTTATATATAAATTCTTTCTCTTTATCATTTTTGACAGCTGATTTACCTAATCTGGAACAACTTTAAAAGAAAATCTAACTTGTAGCTTCACCTACCAGTTTAATCATTAAATGCAAACCTCTTTTTACATTCTCAAAGCTCTATAAATTTTAGAGTGGCAAAAAAAATCAATAAACAAAGGAAAGAACAGAGCTGGAGCCTATAGTAATTTGGGAAAGATATTCATGCAAAAGCCTAGCCAAACAAACTAGAAGGCTTCTTTAGAAGAGAATTTCACAAATTCTACTAACTGGCACTGTATGAAAAGGGGCTGAAAAAAGTATTTCAATAAATCCTAGCTACACAAAAAGACAAAAGCACCCTTCAATTTTATATTAATTATCATCTAATTTATATCTCACTGGAAAAGGCAACCAAAAAGGACATACATGTCCTGTACATTAGCTCACAGCAGGAAAATGACAAAGGCAATATAACAAATATTAATTGCTAACATCTATACCCCAAATTTAGGATCCCACACTTCTATTCCCAGGAGATCATAGGGATTTTAAAGAGGGCTCTGCACTTCTTTACTGCCACAATTCCTTGACTAATAGGAGTATCTTAAGATACTACCTGCAATAATTTACTCTGTACCTTAACATGGGTTCAATGTCAGTCTAAAATATGAATAATAAATGCAACTGCAAAAGCTTCTGGTAAATTAAAACTCAAGTGTCTTTTACAAGTAAACACTCACAAGTTTGAAGACAACTCGACCAAGAAGTCGCACAGAGTCAGGAGGATATCTAGGTTTGCAGCTTTTAAGGCATTTGCATTCCCGCTTGTGGTCCTGCCAAGCTTTTTTCTGTGAAGGTAAGAATGGAGAGCACATCAGAAACATACAATTTAACTTTCATTTACACTGATTTTGAATGTTGAGAATCACCAACATTAATTTAATTTCAACAGCCAAAATGCAATTGCAAAATAGAAAATAAAAGCAATATTCAAACACTGCCAAGGATTCAGGATTTAGTCTTTGCCAAGTATGTCATTACCAAGCATGGGCATTGCTTGGAATGAACCACAAAGTGCCAAAGTGCCTCAACCTTATCTCTGTCCTTTAATTTGCCCTCTGGTCATTACCTATGTGGCAGACTCCAGAGAAAGAACCATTATTAAGTAATTATTAAGGCTTACTTAATAATATATAAGATAGTCTTTTAGCTGACTAAAAGGGATTCAATAATAGGCAGTCATTTTGAATACAAAAGAAAATATCACTCTACTTTTAAAAATAAAACACATGGTTTAGGAAAATCAAAATAGGTTAGAACTTCTAGGAACCTAAGTTTTGAAAACATTGTTTACAAGAGGTTTATCACTTCTTTGTCATCTCTAATCATGGCTGCCTTGCTTCCACTAAGTTAAGCACTCTTAAACTGCTCTTTAATTTTTCTTTTCAGAATTTATATTTCACTCACTTGAAACAAGACTAAGCTGCATCAATATAAACAAAAGCAAGAAGTTAAGTTTGTAAAAACATAAGCAAAATGCTAAAATTATTGGTGAGGAGTGAGAAAAATCTTCTAGAATTTACTTAGCACTCTAAAATGTACTAGCTGCTTGGCTAAGCATACAAAAAGACATGTCATTTGATTTTCACAGTAATCCAAACAGAAGATATTATCTTTATATTTAAGATGAAGAAGGTATGGCTCAAGAACCAGGACCTAACTACCAAATAAGCTAAACAGAAAAGGGAAGAGTGAAAATCCCTAGTACACTAAACATGAGAGCTAAGTAATCACCATGTGTTTGCACTACATTATTTGAGTTGCCTTACATGCAAGGCAAAAGAGAAAGCATAATGGCTTATATCATTCTCATCGGACAGAAAAGAAAAACACATTGCTTTACGAAGCATTAAACACAGGAGAAATGCACTCCAAGAATCAGAATCAACATACTGGAGAATGTCTTTGACAATACTCTAGAACAAGAGTTTACTCCTATAATGGCCTTTTATATAGCTGCATTTAATCACTTAAAGACTTAATATCAAAATATAACTCTGTGAAAGAAAATGTTTGTTGTTCATGGGGCTACTAATTAGTAATTATTTGGATTAGTAATAAAAAATTACCAACATGTCAAAATATATGGCTTCATTGTAGTTTTTTTAAATACTTTTCGTTAGTTGTAGTTAGCCACAATATCTTTGTTTTATTTATTTATTTTTATGTGGTGTTGAGGATGCAACCCAGTGCCTCACATGTGCTAGGCAAGTGCTCTACTGCTGAGCCACAACCCCAGCCCAGTTTCATTCTGTTTTAAACACACAAAAATCATGCACACTCTACTTAGCAAAATGAGATTAACTTATTAAAAGTCCTAAAAAATTATTCATTAAAGCAATCTGTATAAATTGTTTAACTCAGGTTCTCATGATTTCCATTGCCATTTTTTGGGAAGTTAGGTTATTATATACCAACTCATATATACCTATGTACTTACTTTCCTTCATCTGGTCTTTGAGAATAGGTTAAACAAATTCATGGTTCTTTACACTGACAAGAAACAGACTGAAGAGAGAACCATAACTTTTCTAGAAGAGATTTCATTTGGTTATGAAAGTTGTAAGACCTGAAAGAACCTCTTAATGGACAAACTGTGTGGGCAGGAACAAACCACAAAGTACCAACAAATCACTGAGAAGGCACCTTCAGATTTATTCAAATGCCTGAGTACACATCCAGCTGAACAATAATCACCTTCAACACAATAAAGCACAGGTAATTTGAGACAAAAAATAATAATAATTAAGAACAGATTTTAATCAACCTCAGTCCCAAATATAGTAGAAACTGATAACTCCTTTTTTAAAACCTCCACTTTAGGGGATCCAAGATGGTAGAATATAGGAGATACCATTTCTGGCTGCTCTGAGGAATGAAACCAAGAAAGCAGTCAGGCGGTGTCTCCACAAGGTATCACCTAGGCAGAATACAACATCTCAGAGTGTGCAACAGGACCCCTCTACAGCCGATTTTCACAGAAACCATCAGAGCTGCGACCACCTGCAAAGAAATCAGAGTCTCTGTGTTCCAGTAAGACTCTGCACTCCAGACCCAAAGCCTGAAGTTCTTGCGCGCACACAGCTCTCAAGCGGCATAGCAGGCATAGCAAGAAGTGTGGCAGAATCACCTAATCAGCTGTGCTCCACTCCCACACAGATCACATGGCTGCAATCTAGCCCCAGCACAAGGCCAGCCCAGCTCCCCCCACCTCACCAGACACCCCAGTGCTGGAAGCACACCAACTCCATCTTGGAAAACCTTTTTCCCAATTTTTTGGTGGATGTGGCTATTTGTGTGGATCTCCATTTGAACAGGTACCTGGTTTCCAACTTCATAATAATCTGCCCCGCACCAGCTGCAATAACTTGGCACAGTGACTACCCAGCACAAAAACTGCTCTCACTTGAATGGGAGTGCAGTGCAAGCCTGAGGATGAGAGATCCAGCAATTGGGACCTGATAAGCAAGAGAGGAAAGGAGTCTAAAACCTGGAGCAAAACAGAGAGATCAGGATAGGGGAAGCTCCAGACAAGAGAGGGAGACAATACTGGGGCTCAAGTCTTCTCACGCTGGTTACATACACCACCATGAAGACAGACTCCAGCTTAAAACAGACAATTCCACCTACTAGAAGAGATGAGAAGCAAGAAGGAAACTGAAGTTAACTCAAAATGGATCAAACAGCATGATATCAAATCAGAAACTCTGCACCTGATAGAAGAAAAAGTTGGTTCCAATCTACATATTGTGGGGTTGGGCTCCAAATTCCTTAATAGGATGCCCATAGCCCAAGAGTTAATAACAAGAATAAACAAATGGGACTTACTTAAACTAAAAAGTTTTTTCTCAGCAAGAGAAACAATAAGAGAGGTAAATAGAGAGCCTACATCCTGGG